TACTCATAGTCGTGCATGCCGTAGTCGTTAGACCATTGACCTCGCATCCCTACAAAGACGGAACGGAGCACGCCGGGTTCTCACCGGATTAGGCTCTCACATCACCAAGCGCGAAGCGCCGTGAGGTATTTGGCGAGTCGCATGAAGGGTGCGCTGCATCCTACGAAGGGTGTTCGGTATCTTGTGCATATTTCCTTGCGTACGGATGACAGCTGCGTATGACTTAATTTATTTTCTGGTGCTTTCACTTCCAGAGACAGTTGCATGCACTGTGTAACTGCCTTGAGGGGGCTTGACCATTTTGACACAACGTGGTGCGATCATCCCCCTTGCACGGAGTAAGGGTTCTCGACCCCGCACAACATGATCTACTCGACCACCATTCATTGTTACCGCCAAAAAAAAAAAGAGGAACAAAAAACGCTCACCTGGTTGCCGAGTTCACGAAGTGAAATGGCTTGTTTTACAACGTCGTTTCCACGCGAGGGGGGGGTTATTACGACCAGGTTAGCGTGACCTACACGCGGGAATGCCGTTAAGCGGAGTGTTCGTTCTTCCAGGATGTGGTTGTGTTTGGTGATCAGTTTTTTGCGGGTTGATCAAACGGGCGGACATTGAGTGCTCTGTGATTGTTCAACACGACCAAGATCAGTAGCAAGCTGGTGTGCACAGGACGATGCTGTGTTTAGCAAGCAGTACGCGGAATGATCAAACAGAGTGCAGGGCAACAATCAATATACCACAATTTCTCTCCGGCAGCAAGACTGAGGAGCGTGCCACAACCCAAGGGAATGCACGGCAGAGCAGAAAACAACAAACTTCGGCGAGCTGGCTAGCCAACGACGGCGGTGCTGTTCGAAGTCCCGCGTCACGACCGATTCCTCTAGTGTGCAAGGGAGCCGCCACACATCATCTCTCAAGTCCGCGGCACCACGAGCGAGGTGACGTACATATAGCTAGCTCAACGCAGAGACCGAACCTAGTGTTGTAAGATGGGACCACCGTCGCGAGGATGCTGTTGATAATGTATGATGTAGAGAAGGGGGCTTCCCCACCCTTACAATCCCCAACCAAAAACAAAGCTTTTCCCTCGCTAGGGATACTGTTGTGTCTGATTCCAGCCAACCGCTCACTCAGGGTCCTAGTAGGTGATCGAAGCATCCTACATCTGGAGCACTCACGGGGTCGCAGATGAAGAGCAACGCTGGATTCGCTTCTTTCAGTCTTCGGTGGACGTCGAGGACGGCATGCAAGAAAGACGGGGATCCGACGTAGCCCTGCCAACGACGTGTACAGACGAGAAGCACCAGGTAGAACACAAACAAACGGCAAGTCGCATGCATATCAAAGAGAGTGGGCAGGAAAACCACCCCTTGCAAGGAGGACCCGTGGGAAGCACGCACGCTTGTGTGTGTGGGGGGGGGGGCGTACTAACGTTTTGCGTACCGTAGCTGTTATGTAGACCGTTGACCACGCGTCGTCGAGGGGACGGAGCATTGTTCCTACGAGCGCGGGGAGGAGGGGCATACTTCTGAAGGATACAAGGATTGATTCATACACACGAGCAACACTCCCTCACCGTGAGCACATGCGTATAGCCTCTGAGGAGGTTGTTGGACTCCAACCCCTGCAGCAGTCTCGACAGCTCTTCCCCCTGGAGCACTGTCCCTTCAAACCCTGCGTAGCCTGTGTATGAACATCCAATCAGAGGGCGGCATTTTCGGTGTTTGGCTCGATAGCGGAAGCGGCAGCGGGGCCTTCGTAGCATCGGAAACAAGGACGCACCCGTACAATTGCATGAGCGCTCTGTGTTAGAAAGAGGTTGCACAAGGGTGTGCTGCGCTGTCGAGACCAGAATCATCGTGTGTTTTCCTAGCAAGCGCGTGTCTGTGTGCGAGAAATTTGTACGTCCCCGGATACGAGGTGATTGGCAGAAGAAAGCAAACGGTGGCTAGATTAATGTATAGTCTTGTCGTGTGTACCGCGCAACACCAAGAGTAACAAAACCGGCCGGCAGGCCCACTGCTCAGGTTGCACCCTTGCGAAGAGCGCTCCGAAAACTGTTGTAGTCGAGATTGAATGCTGAATAGGGGGTGTAAGGATGTCGACACTACGAGCGGGTCTGGTCGCCGAGTACAAGCAACAGGCAGTACTTTATATCGTCTTTCCGCCTGCTGTGTGGTCGCTTTCCACACTCACCGCGATCACGACGCCTAGCGACGCACCTGTGTGGTTGGAAAACTGCACGGAGTTGACAGGGTCGACGTCGAAGCCTAGCAGCTGAAGCGGGAAGACCGAGCACTTGTTGCCGACATACCCTCGAACAACATGGCTCTGAATGCTATTAGTAGTAAATAAGGAAATTTGAGCAGGCGGCAGACGGCAGGTTGGTTGAGTATTTAAGAGAGATGCATGTAGAGGACAGCAGAGTCAAGGAGCCGAGAGATCACATGTGAAAAAACGGTGTGTGCAGGGAGAGGCGTTTTCGCGTGACAATCGGCTGCTTGATATGCCTGCCAACTGGCAACGCCACCCTGCACAGCCCGAACATGTCCACGATGTGCAGAGCAGCATCATCTGTACAGAGCTGCTGTTGTACTGGGTGCACACTTTCAGGACCGAAAGAGGTACGGACTTGACCCAGCAACTGCGGAAGAAGGGCGCCACCGAGCTCCTCCGGTTTACTCACCTCAGCACCCGTCCCCCAGACGCCATCCTTGCAGCACAACACGGACCTCCTCTATGTGCCTGTGTCGGCTGTTGCAACTGGCAATCTGTTGCAACCGGGCAGTGGGCAACAAAACTGAGGTCGGGTTAGTTGGGGACGGGGTACCACAGCAACATTGCAGTTCACGTTGCCCCCTGGCCTCGTCTTCTCCTGAAGTGTCTCGGCGAGAGCAGCAAGCGAACACACTCGCGCTGCATCCTTTCCCTGGACCTCGAAACAACAACCCAGCTCCAGAATGAAGGCCTTTGCTGCTTGTGTCACCGCGGTGGCGGCGCTGGACTGCGCGTCTGGCTTCGTGGCGCCCGTGGTGACCTCTAGCTTCGCCAGCTCTTCGCTGAGCCGCACCTCCGCTCGATCGCGCGCCCCCGGAGTGCTACGTATGTCTTCTGCAGTGTCTACTGACGCGAAGGTGTGATGGTACACTTGCAGAGCGGTAGCCCGCAGAGTCAATCTTGCGTAGCAGGTGGACCAACACTTGAGGCGTGGTAGTTTGCTGCTTGCACGTCCTTGGTGGTGGTGGTGATGGGTGGGGAGATACGACGTCGTCGCGGAAAGTACGCATGTGTGAGTCAGCGAGTTGCGGTTGATGCTGGCGGGGTCGCTGGCCCAGCTCTCTTCCCACTTTGTTCAACGCTTGTTCCTGTTTTGCACAGCAAGAAGGTAGCCATGCCTTGAAGACTATGGTCTCGTCGCCTGCTGCCTGTTAGCAAAGCGTCCCCTGCCAGTGTTGGAACCACGTGCTCAGCCCCGACACCAGTGAAAAACAAGGGCGGCGCATTTCATTTTCACCCGCCATGAGCTTACGGCTCTGAGCCATACAGGTAACTCAAGAGTCCAGCAGGTCATGTTCATCATTGCCGTTTGCAGCGCGGTGTTGAGTGGAAATACTCCCTGGTGTGCACTGCATCCTCACAGCAGTGAGCTCCACTGCTGTTTGCAACAGCCATGTAGCCGGAAGAGGGCCTACTGTAGCAAGCGAAAACCCGGTCGCTCTCAACTGATGCGTACACACATGAATCTCAAGTAGCAGCATCCAATCTCGATCGAAGTCAGTTGCACATGTAAGCATGTTGCCTTCCACATCAGCAGCAGCAGCAGCAGCAGCAGCAGCATCAGAGCTATTACGGAGTCTAAAGTAATAGCGTCAAAGCGGCGCGCTCCTTTTCGGCCCTCTCTGTGTCTCGAGGTGCCAGTAGCTATTTTCGGTCTCGTTGCCTCTCTCGCGAATGGATGGTGGGTCCGGTCCGGTCCGTTCACGATCTTGGCGCATACAGCGAAGGAATTAAACATTCAGATGGATGCGCAAGATGGCTCTCTACCAAACTGTCTTGTTGAGCCTGTTACCCACAGGGAGGAGAGATATCGCTGTTTGCTGCTCGGGAAATCTTGAAAATACAGGTAGCCTCCACTGACGCTGGATTCATTGATAATCTATCTTTTACTCTTTCTTACACTCAAAAAGAGTAGGTAAGAGATCGATTCGCTGTCCATCTATACAACAAAAAAATTAAAGACCCGCAGCTCGCGGCCGGCACACAAAACGTTGCCACGCCGCACACGCGCAAACCGTAGGTGTAGCCCGCTGCCATCTTGCCAAAATACCACCGTACACAGCACAAGGTAGCACATCCAGCATAGGATAGCACACGCCCGGCAGAAGGCACACCCGTTGATCATAAAAGCCCAAAACACGAACGCTACTCTCAGATCAAGTATTTAGCGGCGATGATGCAACACACACCGGCCCTTGTGATGGTGTTTTTCCACGCGTCAAATTTTTACGACGCTTTCATTTTGTGTTTTCCTGTCTTGTAGAATGGTTTGTCACTGGTGCGAATTTCACTTACAAGCTCGTCTGCTCTTCGAGTGCGCTGTTGGCTGAAATCGGGTACAGCAGTGCTCGATGTGTCTTCATCATCTCTTGTTGTTGTCTTTTGGTCGGATGTTGCTCTGCGCGGGAAAGGTGGCGGCTTTGCGAGAGTGCAAGAAGGAGCTCGCGGGCATGATCGACAAGACCAACTCGCACCCTATCATGATCCGACTTGCGTGGCACGACGCCGGTGAGTTGTGGTGGTTGTCGTCGGTGTCGTTGTTTTGGTCGTTGATGTTGCTGCTGCCGTTGTTTTGGCTGCTGGTGGCGTTCAGTTTTTGGTGTGTTGTTCTCCTCTTGACATCGACAATAAATGACGAGGATGAACCATTGTTTGCTGCTGCCCTTGCTTTGACTCCTCTGGACAGGGACGTACAACAAGGACAGCACCGAGGGTTGGCCGAGGTAAGATGAAACACCGAAAAAACGCCTACACTGCATCCCGGTAGGAACTCCGCTGCAATGAGCGCCGAAAACGACGATTTAGCCTTGAGACAACAGGCCGATGCATATGCACGGCTGGAAGCAGACAATATTACTCACCCTGTAGAAGTACATATTACTCAACAACTAACCTAATACTTTTTGGGTAAGAGTTCAACTACCCGTAGTTGGACGGGATCAACTAGTTGCACAAGATTCTGATCGAGTAGTTGTTTGGAAACAACTGGTAGTTGCACAACATTCTGACCGAGGAGCTGTGTAGAAACAACTAATGGCACAGTTTGGCAAAAAAAATACTGGCATTTAACTATCGTAGTTGTACGGGCTCTGCAAATATTGGCATAGGGCGAGGTTTTCGGTTTTGGTATCTACGGCGGCGTCCGCGCAATGGCTGGCTACCAGGGGGAGAGACTATGATATGAGTAGGAACACCGCTGTTGAGTTCGGCAGCCGAAATGCTCACGTAGTTGAATATGTCGAAGCTTGTAGATTCCACACTCGTGATCACGGAGCGCTCTCAACAAGACTTTGACATGTTGGCGTTGTGGCAGCCACCCATGCGGAAGCACGCGAAGTGTCAGCGTCGAAAGTCCACTTGCTTTTAAAGCAGAAAAGTTCCGTTTCGTTTCGACACTAAACCGCCAGGTCAAAAAGCCTCGAGGATTGGTCAATATACACCAGTTTCTTTTTAACGAAACGCAAGAAATACAATATAACCCGACCACCTACTGTAGCACGGGGCCATAATATTGCTTCCCTCTTAGATATCATGTCTGCGATTTGTTTGTTTTTTTCGGTGGGGAGGACTATCTAGTTTGTCTGCCGACTTGGCCTGACGGGCGAGAAACCGACGTGGAACACACCTATGTGACCCCGGTCGGGTCGTCTAGCTCGTAGAAGTGGAGGATAGGGGCGAGAGGGACAGACGACAGAGTCCAATGATGGGAGAAAAACAAAAGAAAAAACAAAAAACACCGCCGGAAAGGTAATGGATACAGTACCTGACCCTTGAAAGTGCAGGGATGTGTCCAGAGATGTTAGTTGCACTTTCCCGGGCACCTGATCGAGGAAAATATAGGTTTTTGATCTTCGTCAGCAGATTTCACTGGCACTGTGCGGGGCACCTGCACTATTCAACCGGCACTATAGAAGGCCCAGTACTGCCCTTACTCAAGGGATGCACATAAGAATCTCACCCGTGATGTTCAGTGGGAAGTTTTTTATCTCACACGGCGTGTAGAGGGGAGCGGAGGGCTCCGACTATATGTCTCTTGTTTTTTGGTCGTTTTGCGGACCCTTCTGGCCCATTGTTGCGTTAGGAAAGCTTTTTTAGCGTATCTGGTGGATAGATGAACACGAACTGAGGAACTGGGTGGGCAGATCCGATTGGCTTCTACTGCGAAGACAACATGATACCTGGTATACGTAGGCATCAACTGATTCCTCACCTTTGATTCAAACCGCGTCACACACGCCTATCAGGCAGGGGGGAGCTAACGGGTCCATCCGCTTCGAGCCGGAGATCAACCACGGCGCTAACGCCGGCCTGACCACGGCCCTGAAGCTCCTCACGCCGATCAAGAAGAAGTTCGAGGAGGTTGGCTGGGCGGACCTCATGCAGCTCGCCTCTGCAACGGCTGTCGAAGTCGCCGGTAAGCACGAGACAAACGGTCAAGCAGGCAATTTTGTTGATGTAGAAAGAAATCGTGTGGCGGTGGCTGGTGGTAAAGCCAAGAAAAGGAGCGAGAGTGAGACGAATCAAGCAATAACTAGGTCGTGTGAATGGGCTGTTTCGCGGAGCGTGACGCGCAAACAGGCATAAGGGTTCCCCCCACTGCTTGTACGAAAGTTGGGAGATTGATAAAAATATAAACGATTTTCAGTAGATGTACATGGTATCGTAAGAGTAACCGTCTCACCCTTGCGTAGGTAGCCCATTTACAACGCCGGCGATCTCAGGCGCGAATTCGCTGCCAGGCACACACGGCCACAACTTGCACACCCACTCTCTCGCGGTCTGTTGTCCCTCCTACGGTATTCACATTCCTTGTCGTGGCCTAGGGGGACCCGTGATCGACATGAAGTACGGCCGCAAGGACGCGGTAGCACCGGAGGACTGCGTGGACGAGGGATATCTCCCCGCCGGAAACAAGCCTTTCCCGGACGCCGACAACGCCCAGGTAGGTTCATACAGTCAGACTGTCTGATGATAAATTGTACTCCTTCATGGTACCGTTCAGGAATGTTTCTGATCGGAAGTGATCTGGCGGTATATGCTTTCTGCACATGCGGTCGGGTGCATACAGAATTGCGTGGTAGGTATTTCGTCGTCTCCTGCCTATTCATGCCGCGGGGCTGGTCTCCGGGACACAGACATGCCAGACGGCAGCTACATATGTGCAGGTGTGCTGTAGCGTCTTTGCTTAAATCATACACTCTGAGCCCGCTCAGCGTGGAAGCTTCTACATGGGTGGAAGATAGCTTTATTTTTCTGTTGCGGTTTTGTTTCTCGAGAACCACCTTCGCAACGTGTCTTTTCCTCTTCGCGTTGTACCATACCGTTCGAAATTGTCGTTTATCTTATTTTAGCGATTTTTGTTTGGAGGACAACCTTCGCAGCGTGTTCCACCGCTTCGCCGGTACTGGAATATTGTCTTTTCCTTGGACATATCGTCGTCGAGTATTTGTTGCGTTTTCGATTTCGTTTCGTCAGGAGCACCTTCGCAGCGTGTTCTACCGCTTCGCCTGTACTCGAAAATTGCGTTAACGTTAAACGTTTCGTCGACGTGTTTTTTTTGTTGCTTTTTCGATTTTGGTTCGTCAGGACCACTTGCGAAACGTGTTCTACCGCATGGGTTTCGGTGACGAGGGGATCGTTGCTCTGTCCGGGGCCCACACGCTGGGGCGTGCCTTCAAGGTGAGAGTCAAGACAAGACAAGCAACACAACGAACTACTGCTGTTGCCACGGCTTTTGCCAAACATGCAATACACAGCCTCCTCTCTCGGTAATATCGTGGGGCGGTGTCCTTGTTGCGGGTGCCGTTGGATTGGCTCCTCTGCCGACACGATGACGTCAGCAGCTGCTGCTGTGGCTGCTTGTCGTGTTTATTATGGGGAGTTTATTTCGGGCATGAATTTTGAATTGTACACCTTGATCCGAGGAGAAAATCAGGATGATGCCGTGGATTCGTGATTTTCCGTGTCACCGTCACTCCCCCGCGCGCCAACGGCCTTGTTCGCCGATTGAGGGTTTTCTCAGCACATTGTTGGATGTCTTCTGCGTAGGTTGCGTACGATTCCACGCCCGTTGGGGCTATTTTCAGGTTCAAAGCTTGATTACTCCGCGAAAAGCACACTGCGACGGTGCCCATAATGACAACGCTGGAACTGTCTCGTCGAGAGCTTTCCGAAAACACAGGCTTTACCTTGTTGACATCCTGTTCGTCGTGGAGTGGTCGGGCTTCGAAAATGAGTCAGTGGGCGTGGTACCTTACGCACCCTAACGTATTCCGCTTGGCCATTGTACCGGATTGTGCCGTTTCGGGGAATATTTTGACTCTTGACTCTGTTTACGGACCACTTTTTGGTATTTTTTTCGTCTTTCCATTCGACAGTGTAGATTGAACCCGTGTCGGAGGCGGTGTTTGCGCTAACTTAAATAATGATACCTTGGTGTTTCTTTTTCCCATCGAAAGCAACACCTACTACCGTCCTACATGCGTCCCACATGCTCGACTCATACTCAACCTCGACAGGACCGCAGCGGGGAGGGAGCGGAGTCTACGAAGTTCACCTCCGGCGACCACATCGCCCGTGGGGACGGCAAGGCCGGCTTCGGGCGCAAGGGCGGGAGCTCGTGGACGGAGAAGTGGCTTAAGTTCGACAACAGGTGACGAACGATGTTATTTCGAATGACATTTTGTCAATACTGTAGGATGATCGGATATCAGCCAGAGGTGTTTGATTGTGAACCATGTCCGCGTGAAGACAAAAGAAGAAAAAACAACGCTTGTAGCATTTTCGGGGAAGTGTGATGAGGTCAAGGTTTTCGTAACCACCGTCTGCCGGAAGACCAAACAAACGAGCAACAAGGACACTTAAGTGTGTGATGAGGTTATGGTTTGTGCAACACCTGCCGGAAGACGAAAAAGTGCAAGAAAGATTGGCGCATGTACGCAAGTATCCCAAGAGGACGAGGTTCGCTCATTCTTCCCCGAGAGCCGTCGTCAAGATCAGTTTACGCTATGTACCAGGGCTCGAGTCTCGATGCAGCATGCGTTATGAAACACGGTAGGGTCGTTAGGTAAAGACCCAATATTTTCCCCGAGCGAGATCACCCAAGGCCAGTACGGAATATTTTGGCTTGACCATGGATGAAACAAGCGTATATCGTTACTATAGTAGCGAGTCGTTGAGAACGATCTTGTCGCTCATGACGCTTGTCGTTGTCCTTTCGTGTTGTATTGTACTTGTACTTCGTTGAGCAAGGCGATGTCGCTCATGTCGATTCCTTTCTCGTTCTACTGTAATTTGTTTCTTTTTTTTTTTCAGCTACTACGCAACGGTACCCGACGAGGCGTCTGACCCCGAGCTGCTGAAGCTGGGCACCGACAAGTCCCTGTTCGACGACGAGGGCTTCCTCCCCTTCGCCCAGAAGTACAGGGACAGCGAGGAGGCGTTCTTCGAGGACTACAAGAAGGTGGGTACTGCCTGCACTTCTACGAAGTATATTTTCATGATCGCGTTCTTTTTTTTTTTCTTGTTTTTTTATTCGTCCGGTCTGTTTCGGCGCCGGTGTACAGGAGACCTTCGTCGAGGATTTTTTTTTGTTTGCGATGTACTGCTGTAACGGCCGGTGTTATGTCATTGTTTTATTTGACCACAAGCATCGCCCGTAGTGTTGTTCATTTTCGCTTCATTCGTTTTTATTTCTTCCAAAGGCTTAAGGGTCCGGGATAGCAATTAATTCATCAGTGTTGTTCGTCGGCTCCCTGGTATTTGTAGCGCCAGTCTCCACACACTTTGCATCCGGCCGAGGTCACACAGAAGCATGAAGTACTTTTTTTTTTCTCAGCTGAATGTATGGACACGTTGTGTTGGGTGAAACAGAGTGAGTGGTGTCTCCTTGGATCAATTCCTGTTGCTGCCCTGCTGCCCATCGGACAGAACGGGTGGGAACTCGATCCAACTTGCCTCCGTCGCGTCGTCTGCTGAGTTTATATGTAGCTTCTCGAGTTGTAGAGGGTGACGGAGCAACCGCGACGCGTGCTTGTACTTTCGGTGGAAGTCAATCTCAAACGACCAATCAGCCAACGAGAAGTGACATGCAACTCAGGCGTTTGGCTGTTGGCTGTTGGCACAGACAGCTGTGAGAGTGAGGAACATGCACGTTCAGCGCTCCTGGATATGTTTTGCTTTGGTTGGTTGTTTCGATCCCGCTGCGTTTGCCACACCTGTGGAGCTCTTGGTAAGTCTGTTTCGTGCCCCCCCCTTCCGTCCTCTCGAGGACGGGTGGTCAATAGTCTGACCGCTATAAGGTATGCAACAATGTGAGTACCCCCCCACCCCTGACGTTGAATGCATTTTATTTCGTCCCCCCCGCCCTCCCCTTTGGTTTACAGGCGCACAAGCAGCTCGCGGAGCTCGGCGTAGAGTGGGAGGTCGAGGGTGGCATCTCGATCTAAACCGTACACCTTTCACAATCACATTTTAATCTGCTTTTTTCTGTTGTGGGGTACGGTTCCAACGGCACACCACGTCGTAGATTTGAGAAACTGGTGAAAATCATGCGTCACGTGTTGAATCGCCTACGCACCGTTGACCATGGAAGAGGCGAGGTATAGAGTAGTAGTGTGAAAAGCGCCGGTTAGAAAGAAGCGCGCTCCCCTACGCGATGTGACGTTTTCATTTGTGAGTTTTGGCTGGAGTGTGACGGGATGGGAATGGGAAGCGGTGTCGTGCCAACATGTTTTGCAATATATAAGGATACTTTTTCTTGGTTTGTGGGCGTTCGCTTACTTAGTACGTGGATTCTCTGATCGCTGAGGTCGTTGCCATTCTCTCGTTTGACGCCTGTGTTCCTGGATGGTGGCTTTCATCTGGACTATCTCGGCAGCGGCATCATCATCGGGTATGAGTATGAAGATTTTCTTTTCACCTTGTAGATCGGCTGCGTCTGCATGCAGCTTGTGGTATGTTTTCCGGAACACGCGTGTGTGCTAAGTTTTCCCTCAGAGCATTCTTTGTGCGGCAGCCCGCTCGACGTTTAATGGAGGTGGCATGGCAAGTGGGGGTGTGGGGGGCGAGGACCCAGGTCGATGCGCGTCTCTCCTTTGATGATGACCGTTACACGGTCTGGTGTCGGTTGGACAAGAAACTCACTCGTCCGCGCTGGCTTGACAGATACAGGTCTCGTGTGGTTTTGTGTTCACTGTTGGGTCGTGGTCTGAGATGTGGATCATTATCCAGATTATGTCTTCCATCTACGCTCTTGCTCCTTTCCAAGGGATTAGGCGTGGGAAGAGGGGGCCACCCGTTAGTCTCGCCGCTATTTCTTCCTCGTCCGCCCATCGTATCATAGGGTTGGGTGGTTTTCCACGGAGAAATAAAAATAGGAGGGAGTCCTAGGGGGCGAGGATATCAACGTGGTACTTAGCCAGCCCGTATGTCATGCACGCTATTCGCCTTTGAGGCAAGGTAGTCAGTTGCTGGATGGTGTCGAGTGCGTCGCCGCAACCAGCGGGAACATGACACACACCCGCGACACGCCAGGTGTTGTCCTTCTTGAGTTGAATTTACTGGTGCAACCGTTTGAACCCCGTTTTTTTTTCAAGACCCAACGCCGGTCGACACGTCCGATTTACACCGAAAAGTGTAGAGGCTGATGCCGAAATGGATGGATGAACCGAAAACACACACGACACATGACGTGTAGGTGGGGGAAGCGCCTAGACGGCTGAAATCAAAGGGGAGGAAACCGGGGGACACGGCGGTCTTGCCGAAGCGGGGGACTGACATTTTTGTCGTCGTGTCGTGGGCGTGGCAGGAAGGGGAGGCCCACCGTATTCGTTTTTTTTTTTTTTTCACAAAATGGAGGGCAGGACTGATTTCCTTTTTACGATTGGGTGGACTGCAGGAGACTTGGCCTTCATGTAGATCGATCCCATCATCCCCACATGGCACGAAGCAGGATGATGATGCTGCTTGGTGGAGAAGGATACAGTGGCGATCAACCCCCGCCGGCGAAGCGAAATAACAGCGACCGGAAACGACTGGCGTGGTGGTGAAGTGAAACATCCAGCGCATGAGAGCGCGTGTATGCGCTCCGAAAAATATGTTGGTGGGCAAACAAACGTGAGAGAAGCAGTGCTCGAAGCCGCAGATAACTGCCCACATTGACAGCTTGGCCCGGGGGTAGAGGGGTCCCCTGCCTGCCCTTGGCTACACGGTAATAGTCTATATATCTTCGGATGGCTCTCGCATTTTTGTGACCACGGACCGCGTCTTTGCAAGATTTCGGGATTAGCAATTGACACGAGTTTTATGTGAAGACATCGACAGCAACAACCACGAACAATCTCTCGACACCGCACTCACTCACGAACATCCGTGCAAGAAGAAACGTGCCACAGCCCACCAGGTTGTCGGTTTGTCTTGACATGAAAAAATCGTCCAGATCTCTACTCAAAGTATTGTAACTCCTAGCACTTGCCTTAGTGACAGTCCACAGTAACCATGACCCAAAATTAATCCTTACGGAAAATGGAGAGGAATTAATCGAAGGGCCGGAAAACTCAACGAAGAAAAAAACGCGATCATCAACGGCAAGAAGCATTTATCATTTGTGCTTTACGGACGGCCGGCCAATTTTCAAACACACGAACCCGCCCTACATGCCCCTCAAGTATCTAGCTGCATGCATGCATTCACAAGTTTGTCATGTCGACCGAGGCTTCCAATAGTAGTACGCAATATCGCCAAAGGCCACCTCTCTCCCAAGTTCCCCTCCAGCGCGTTCGTTCATAAACCGCGCAAGTTTCACGCGAGGCTCATAACCTGTCGCCAGATACGCCCAGGCAACAACCGCTACCAACTACGCTCCATAAGTCACCCACCCACATGCATCCGTTCCCTCCAAGCTCGCCGTACGTACAAGGGGCACGGGCACGCTACTTACCGCTCACCCACCGTGCAAGAGGCACGTACGTGTGTCATGAATGTTTTACCACGCAGCAACCAACCGTACACGGTACAGGCCTGCCAGACTAGCCGGATCTTCTTCTTACAAGTGGTTCTGCAGGTGAATAAAAAACGAAATTATGGGGATGACACATACCCGCATAACATGTGTATTGCCTGAACAAACTTGTAAACTTGGTACCTGTACTGGTGCTTGCGTCACCATCGGAAACTACCGTATGTTCGCGGGCATAACCTGCTGGAAGGGGGAAACGCTTTAGACTAGCCAATTTCTCGATCCCAGCCTTTCGATTAACTACTACATGAAACATGAACATGCAATCACTACTGTGTATCTACCGGCTGACTCACGTACCAAATGCAAAGGACAACATATCTCATCCCTGGTACAGGACTCCCCGTATCGTGAGAGCGGTCGATCATGGCCAGTTGACGGGAGAGCTATCAAAATGCTCAACCAATCGTCACATAACAAACAAACCCCCGCCCTCAAATTGAACCTGGAGATGGGAGTAATTACTTACCACACGATCATGATCCCCTCTACCATGTTACAGGCGCGCCCTCGAAAGGCATCGTCGCCTGAGGCCAGCAAACAACCGCTGTCAACCAGGGATCCTTGCGCACACTCTCTCAACCGTCAGTCACCGCACCGCTTAACAATATCCGCAGTAGAACACCACGTGAATAAATACTCGCTGAAAAGGCAATAAAACAACAGAGAACCGCTGATTGAAATGAACTTACCGAGCACCCGCCTACAGCGCTTTCAGGTGCAAACATCAACATAAACGAGTGGCGACTTAACCAACCAGTGGTTGTGCAAAAGCACCGCATTGTCACCGCACTGCTTCATAATATTGGGACCGACAAAACAACAAAGTAGCCCGAATTATACAAAGTTATCGGTGCCGCCGGCGCCTTTTCACATGCAAACATGCACGCACGAGTATGCAATCTTTAGGAATGAATGCTCTTCTACGGATGCATATGTATGAATAATTCTTCTATATATATATTAGGAAAATGCCGCTAGTATGCCTTATTATTCATCGACATATATATGCAATAAAAAAGGCCACAAATAAATAATATATTTCTGCATGCAACGTTTGTCGCGAAAGCATATGCCCTGAAGACTTGAAGCTATCATGCCCGAAACAAAAAAGAAGCCGCCCATTTGCAATGGACAGACAAGGACTGACTGTCCATCAACTCGAGAGGACCAAAACATCCATCATCGTTCGCATGTCATTATGTGTACAAAAAACGAAAAAAAACGAAAAAAAAACAAGGACAGAAAAAACGGTGGCTACACAGGTGGCCATATCTCGGCGAGTGCAGAGGTACAAGCTCGCATTGCGCGGGCGTCAAGCCGCCGAAAACAGGCGAACAAGATCGACCTCGAACCAGGCAACGCCAATGATATGGGGATGGAGTGTAGACGCATCGTAGAACGCGTTTTCGTTTGAAGTTGACGTCTTGTTTAAGAGTAGATGTGACAGATTTGCGTAGAATAGGGTAAGATGTTATCATGAACGGAGAAGAAAGGACTTTTCCAACACGGAGATGTTGCATGTGGATCAAAGCATTTGAATTTGTTGGATATCAGCTTTTACAAGAGGACATCAACGCAGTAGTATTCCAGCAAGCTTACGAACGCATGTAGTATGTAGGATACCATGAGGATTGTCATTGGTTTTATTTCAAATTGAAGAGGAGATATTTTTACGATGTAGTAAGTGACAGTAGAAATAAGTCCCACATATGTTGTACTTCGTATTGGTTTAATATTCATGTAGAGTATGAGACATTCAGTGAAAGTTTTCTGAGGTACATCTACAATTTTTATTTTATTTACTTTTGCCTTTCGACAATTGCAGATGTACCTCAGAAAACTTTCACTTAATGTCTCATACTCTACATGAATATTAAACCAATACGAAGTACAACAACATATGTAGGACTTATTTCTACTGTCATTTACATCGTAAAAGTATCTCCTCTTCAACTT